CTACTTGCAGCAACTCTTGCTCAATTGAGGTCCCAAGGCAAGGTGCAACGGCTTGCGATTGCCTTAGCAGACGTCACGACTTTTGTTACCGCAAGCCAAGTGCAAGCAGTTTGCAGACTGGCCGCCTGTAGGGTTTTGGACGGTTTAGGGTTTCGGAATGCTTCGGATTTAGGGTTTAGGGTGGACGCCGGACCAAGCAGGGTTAGACTAAATATTGAGGTAAGGTATACCGTAGCAAAAGGTGGAAAGCCAAAGGACGTACGTACTGGATGACTTGTTCAGATCAGAGCGAGCCAAGAACAACAAGCCTCAATTAGTTGACCAGCATGCGGGATCTTTCTGTTCATTGGTGATCTCATATATATATATATAAATTTAATTGATCTGAGAAGCTTGTAATGCTGCCTAATCGCTTATTACTTCTACTTTTGTTGCAAATATCTCTTGCAGAGCATAGGCGTCATCCGATTGCTTTAGCCTCGGTCTTGTTGTCTAGCGGCCATCTGTTCAATCTCGAGCGACCCTAGTCACTCCGCTGGGACTGGAATGTAAGCGATGGCCTCTGGCCCCCTGCAATCCATACACGGACCATCACGGGCCCAGAGCGGCAAACTTTTGATTCTTGATAGGGGCTGACGTCCCATCAGACATAAGGGGGTTCCTTAAATTTAGGAAAATCTCTTTGAGGGTCCCAATAAGGAGATACTATGGTATTTTGGGGTCTATATTTGACCCCTATGCATGGAAGCTACTGTAAAATACTAGTCTACCAGACTCACTAGACCCTTTGCAGGCGATGGCCCGGCATGGTGTCAAGGGTCACAGATATTGTTAAAGCTGCTGCTTTGCAGAAAACTGTCGGCCTCTATCTAATTGTCGATGCCCCTGCTGACCATCATGGCTATGAAGCATGTTCGTGTCAGAACGCTGTGATCTTCAAGCTTGAGATTCCTCCTAACATTCATTAGGACGTCCCGAATTACACCAGAAACCTCGATGTACATGTTGAACCTACTGCTTCAATACAGGACTTCAGAGCGCAACTCACATTGGTCCGAAGGGGCAATCCAAGAGAGCAACTCCCAAGCTTGATCCCAAGCGCAACACATTGCTACAAATGATGAGCACTTTTAGGGGAAGACCCCTTTACGGCTTCGTTTACAGTTAGTATGTGGACACTGCACCCGTGCAAGGTTGACTATTCTCCTCCTTGGTCTACAAAGCAGCAGTAAGCTTTCTGTTCCTGCGCTTCTGCACCACCAAGTTTTAAAGCAGCCGGTGCGAAGTGCAACCCATGCAGGGCGCAAGTCATGGACATGGCTGGATGATTTCTAGGGGGTGCATTGCTAGACAAGAAACTTAGGCTGGGCACTCAAGCTACGATCTGCAGCAGCAAGGTCAGCATTGAAAATTGTCAACCAACAGTCCTGGGGTTAAGACGGGTCGCAGCGCTTTTTAGCTTAAACTCCTTAATATGCGTTGTCACAGTCGTGGTGGTGATAGAGGTATATCCGCTCTCCAAAACAGGGAGTAGGATGAAGAGAGAAACGTTCCTGACAAGAGGACAAACTTCTAAGAGGCAGGCTTGCAAATCCTGAAGCCAAGGTCTCTATGCTACTTCATGGCTGCCCCCCTCACGCGGGTTCTAAGGAGGACCTGCAAGCGAATTCAGTAAAGTTGACAGCCTCTCGCGCAGTGAGCAAACACTGCGCGTGTGCGCGACTCCATGTCGCCCGGGCCTCACTGAACCAGCCTTTGCTCGAGAGCTTTAACATCTAGATTGCCGGATGGTCCAGCCCTAGATTCTGCCCTTTTCGTAGCGCTTGAACAACAGCTCCTATGTCCTGGCACATTGGTAGCAGAGGATACAGTACATAGTGAGAAACCAGCAAATGAAAGAGATTTTCGTGGCTTGAGCAGCATAAAAACAGTGATGGCGGCGAACTGACGTGGTTGCTGATGGAGGGTTGTTTTTTCTTGTTGACGTCATGGTCGTTGTTGTTCTTCTGGCGGTGGCTGTGGCTGTGGCTGTGGTTGTCGCTGTTAGCTGCTGCTGCCGCTGCTGCCGCTGCTGCCTTTGTCTTTCGTGCTGGAGCGAGGCGAAAGAGGAGCACTCGAGCTAGAAGTAGGTTGAGCTCCCGACTCCAGACAGCTTATGTGGTCTTATACATACCAGTACCAGGTTTGACGCGAGTCTGAGGTCTTGAGAGAGATGAGACAGAGCGGTTTCGTTGAAGTTGGTTTAGCCTCGTCATCCTACCAACTCCAATTCCATGACTAAGCATGGACACAAAACGGACACAACACCACTCTAGCGATGTATGCCGCCTCAAGGGACGTGATTGCACATCCAGTTCCAGGGGGCAGTAGTTCAGCATGTTTAACACTCTGCATATCAATTTCAAAGCAAACTTTCCTAAAGAAACCAACCCAAAGAAACGACTACCAGCAGGCCGAACCCTAGGTGTTATGCAGGTAGACTTCATACATCCCAAGCAGTTGAATTAGACCTTCAAACGCGCTCGCCATCCGAAGAATAATGCCCTTCTGACTGATTTTGGGTGTTGGGACGACGGTTATGAGGATGCGAAGAGGACCTTGAGCCAAGGTGCAACCGTTCACGCCCATGCTGCATGACGTTGGGACTCCTACGCAGCGCGGTTGGCTCCAACAACACGGCATATATGTACTATAATCTAAACTCCTAGTATCCCCCTTAGTAACCCCTATAGTACTCCCCTATATGATCCCCTATATCACCCGCCTGTAAGGAGTTTAGACGATAGCTCATATGGCACTAGTACAATGAAGTATACGCCATAAGGGAGAGCAACATCATGAACTACCAGGTGCCGGGGATCCCGGAAGCCTATTTGGTAGTTTCCCAAAATTAGGGGTACCCCAATATAGACCCCAATATACTATAGTCCTTTTTATATGGGCCCCCAAAAAAGGTACCCCTAATTTGGGAAAACCCCCATTTACTGAGTTGGAGAAACAAAGCACAATTCTGGGCAGCGCTGAAATCGGCCTTAACAGGAACATTTTTGACGGGCACCCACAGATGTGGCCCTAGGATGCTTGCACTGCTTCCGTGCCAGGAGCGAAACTCATCAGCCCTACCCAACTAATCTCAAAGCCCCACAGCACACACCTGGAGCCCCGAGTCTAAATGCTGAAGCACGCAGCCCCTGCCCTGTTCAAACAAGCCCAGCTAAATCCCTGGCCCCTAAAGCCTACGGTCCGTGAGAACCCCTCTAATGGCACGAGGAACATGTGCGATGATACTCCTGAACGTGAAAAAGCCTTGACACTATCGGCCGTATCAATCACTGTGGAGTCCTCTTATCGAGGAAGTGCAGCGCTGCCCGGGACGCCCAGGCCTCTCAGGCGATCAGCTTTTTTGGAAGGTTAAGATGTAGGTCTCATCGAGGCTTAGGGCTTTAGAGTTCGGGGCTATGGAGTTCAGGTGTCTATGGGGCTTTGAAGCTTAGGGGCTTGGGGATTCCTGGTGTAGAGTCTGGGCCTCAGAGCATTGGCGCCCGGAGTTGAGGCTAATGCGGGCTCTTCGCCATGGAGCGCTGCATGAGAGGGTCCTTTTCACTGAAGTCAGTACACTGTATATACGGAGGTGCAGGGAGTTGGGTACAAAGGCTAGAGGCAATTGTCGTCAACCTGAGAAGTTGTTGTGATGAAAACTGATGAAATAATCAACATTTTGGGAAAGATGTCTTCGCAGATACGTAACAGAGCTGATAGGCAGGCCTGTCTGACTAAACTTGCTATGCCAGACCCATGTCTGATTGCGAAACTGGCTCCTCTACAGGTTTCTGAGCGACATTCAGAAAAGAGTCCCAACACATTTTCCCCTACTCTTATTACCATTGCTATTGCTCTTACTTGTTTTATTACTACTCTTATTCTCACTACGATTAGTACTATTAGCCCCGGTGCTTACTCATGGCCACGGACCAACCTTTATTTAGCCCACGTCCTTGCAGACTTGAGTGGGTGATCTGGGAATACATGTTTCGGGGTACATAGGGATCATGGAAATAAAATGGAAACGACTATAATAACATAGGGTATATATATATATATTGGGGTTATATCGGGGTTATATAGGGACAATGGAAAAGAAAATGGAAACCACTACGTGATCTGGGAAGGCTAATCGGGAGATCACCGAAGCGGGGGATCCTGACTATGTCAAGTGGCATCCTGCAACATTGGCAACCAAGAACCTCAAGAAAGATCACAGTTTTGGCATGTTTTGGCGGCCTGAATATGACGCAGTTGATGGAAAACGCCAGCATTACTCTATGTACATAGCATAAGGATTCTGTGCCTGAAATCGCTAAACTATACCTAGCAAGTTGAAACCAGTGGGTACAGCAGGAGGTTCTTCGTCAACATCCGATGGCAAGGAGCACCCCAGGCCTGTATTAGCGCAGCAACCTTAGCACGCCAAGCAAGCACAAGCAGAATGGGGGATGTTGTCGTCTGCACCAAACCCTCATCCTACCTTCTACCAGCTATATGCTGCCTCATTTAGGGATGCGCATGTGGGGCCGTAGAATAATGTTGTGTTCCAGCCATGGAGGAATCAATGTAAAACTGTGCTGCATCATGAGACAAAAACCGACGTTGGAACCTTTTCCTATTCATTGCGTTTTCGATGAGCAGGCTCAAAATGGCCACCCAAACAAATCTTCAACATAGCTCTGGACAAGTATGGCCCGGAATACCAGGTTAATAGCACTTTGTTTCTGCTGGACCGATTGCATGCTCACTGCAACTGACATATGTATCGTTGATCTCCTTGTTTTTTTATTTGAATCTAGAATCTATTCTCGAGGTGAACTGAAGACCGGTATGAGTAATTTCATTCTTTCATGGTAGCCCTGGTGCGAAATCCAAATTGCAACTACGCAAACTCATCCTAAACCATAAACCCTAAACAGCGTGCCCCGGGTATCAACAGGTCAGCGTGCTGAGGCTCAGACAAAGAGCAGGTAGGTACCCGAGTTCAGAACCACATCCTGAGCCAAGGCCGACTTCCCACAAGGGTTTAGGGTTTAGGGTTTAAGGGTTTAGGGTTTCTTGCAAATTCCAGCCTAACAGTGTTCTTAGTTCTTGGTGCTCCCATTGCTACCATTATCGAGAATTCTAGGCTACTACCATACTTACACTTCTGATCCAAAGTGTTGTTCCGCGCAGCCCTTTTATTCATGCTACCCAAATGGCGACAATAGGCAGACCACTCCATTTCGACAAGCTCACAAATGAGCCTGAAGCTTCAGTCGTGTAAGCCAGGAGTCGTTTAGAAATAGGTGTAGCCACGCCAAGACCAATATCAAGATCCCTGCATAAGGAACAATTCCCACGTAGCTACAGCAAAACCAGCAACAACGAATAACCAGCCACAGCAGTAGCAACCACAAAGAATGACACAGACAAAGCAGACACCCATTTTATGCCTGGTACCCCAGTAAAACCTTGCCACTACAAGCCAAGAGGGGATCCCCTGTTGCCGGGCGACAACCGTCAGCCCTTTCTCCGGGCCACGCACGTCGATGCCGAACCTGATTTCCAGAGGCGGGGGATGCTGGGAGTTTAGACGAAAGCTCAAGTGTAGCGTTGTACTTGGTTCTCTAGAGCTTGGTGATGTTTAGTGTATATATGTATATACAGAAAGACCAAGCATTTTCAGTCAACTACAGTAGAGGGCAGAGATCTTGGGATCAAAGTAGTTGATTTCCAGGCACGTTCAACAGATATTCTCCCGTGGCACTTGCTATGCCTGCTATGCTCCGTCCTAGGAAGCTTCAAGAACCATGAGCCTTGCAGATGGCTGAAGGGTAACATACCAACTCCTTAAAACCCAAACCGTGCATAACGTCCTCCCAGTAATATTACAATCCATCCACCCAACATGAAGAAAGCTCTCAAGATACCGCTATGCAAACTGTTTATGTTTGGGCGTGCTGTTTTGTGTAATGGGGCGGAAGGACGACTCTGCATCTAACATCTGGGGTCTATGCAGCTCCGCCAATCCCCTGATACCTCTGAGGTTGAGGCCTTCTTGTCATCTTCTCCTTTTGGTCATCCCAAAGGTGCACAAAGTCCGATGCCCCCAGCTCCAGCATGGTAATGATCATACCTGAGGGGGTGTCTTCGTTTGGGGCCAGGGTTAAGATCCTGTTGATGGGAGATAAGAAAAGGTTCTGAGGCAGAGATGCAGGGCTCTTTCTCTTTGTCCTGGGCTTGTAGTTTTCAATGGCTTTCATATCCCCACGACATGATGTATGCTGGCAGCTGAGGAAGTTGTTGTTTGTCATCACTCGGAAACTCTCTCCGAGATACTGCGATTGCGTTTTCCAGGGAGGAAGCCAAAAGCAACCTAGACCCCAATCCCTAAGACCCTACACGGACTGGCAAGCCTCGGTACGACCCTGTGCGTTATCCTTACTAGCCTTACTGATATTTCAGGGAATTCGGAACTATGAGGCGGCCATTTTACAGATTGTATGTGGGAGATGCTCATGGACCTACCTGCGGAGCAATTCCTACGTCATCTCTTTCTTCCTCTGCATTGGCAGGGCTGCTCCCAAACCCTGAACCGCATACCCTGCAGGCAAAGCACTCAAAACCCCTAAAATACCCAAGCGCGAAACCAAGAAACCCAAACCCCAAAAGCCTAAGGGGCCTAAATAATTACCAATATTGTGGTTCCATATAGTAGGGTTATATTGGGGTTATACTGGGATAATGGAAAAGAAAATGGAAACTACTAGGGTTTAGGTCTTCAATTGCCCTAAACCCTAAACCCTAAAACCCCCAAAAGCCTAAAGCGGAAAACCCTCATCGTCTCAACGGGGGCAGGGCTGCTGATCAAAGCCACATCCAGCGCGGACCAGGCTCCCAAACAATGAGCAACCGCCCTTCCACACGCGGTTTAGGGTTTAGGGTTTAGGGTTTAAGGTTTAGTTGGGATTTTGGGGTCTAGGATCTAGGATTATAGTCCCTCCCTAAGTAGATAGAATATGGGGGTATATGGGGATCTTATTATAATATACCCGAAGCCATACTCAGTCTACTTAAGGGGGACTATAGGGTCTATTGGGTTTATGGCGGTTATAGGGTTTGGTTTCCCAGCGATACCTACAGCAACCTCTGTAAGGTACAACTTCTGAGGGAGTATGAAGGTCTCGTTTCCAGGTGGGTCAATGATGCTCTCAATGTCACTAAATTGCCCACCCTAAACCCTAAACCCTAAACCCACCTTTTCTTGGGGCTTGGGGCTTGAACTTCTGAGTTGAGTCAGGGAAGCAATGGGTGGGGCTATTGGTCCTGGACCCCCTAAGGCGACTCTTTTCCTGGGTAGTGAAAGATGCACTCTGGGTCATGAGGCTTTTGCGGGGGTATCTAGCAAACCAAAACGCATTCCACAGCTACGGCTAAATAGCAGCAAGCAACCTGCCTCCAATCGACATGCTTGAGTTTAGGCACTCTCCAGTACCAGAGCAGCAGCAGAAGGATCAACTGCAAGAAGTTCACCTAAGCGCAAGAACCAGATGAAACTTTTTCCTGATCTTGCTCCTCACATCCTGTCTTATGGTACATACTTGGACGTTGCATTGAGATAGTTGATGCTAGCATGCTAGTCTGGCTATACCGGAGGTTGTCAAATCATGGCGCGCTTTCACAACCTCCTGCAGGCCACCCAGCCAAATCTGAATCCGTAAAAACAAGAAACAAGTCTCCTGAAACGCAGTGAGAAGAAAAATCCCCGAACAGCTGAACTTCTGCCAGGAAAGGGGAGGAGGCTGCAAGTCGTCCAGGTAGGGACTCAGGGGAAGGCCCCCAGTGTCTCCTTGCCTGGGAAGTGCACACTAGGGATGGAGAAGCAGAGAAGCGGCGAGGCTTGACTGACCAAAGCGAAGGCCAGGGAGGCTGAGGAGATAGCTGCGCCAAGGAGAGGCAGGCATGGCAAGGGACACGAGAAGGCTCCTGCCCCTCCTCAGAACATGAAGGCACCCACCGTATGCGGAATAGTGTGACAAAGAGTTTGTCAACCATACCCACTGCCCCAAAAAAACAAAAACCTAAACCCGCTCAGCAGACAGACACAGGCTAGGGCTATTGCTCCGAGGGCGAAGAGGATGAAGGTGAACTGAAGCGAGGTTTTAGGTTTATGGTTTAGGGCAAAGCTTAAGGCTTATTGGCATGTGTACTCGCGCTGATATTAATGCGCAAGCTTCGAGCCTCTGCCACATGTCGTTGAAGTGTTGAAGCCTATAACTTTCAGAGATTCCCACTTGTCATGGTGCAGCACAACCTAGGGTGAAGCAGAATTTGCTTGGGCGATGTGTTTTTCTGACGGCTGCTTTGAATGAACAGACCAAGACTCAATCGGCGGCGCATCCAGATGTTCGCACATTTCTGTCCAGCAATTACACTTAAGCCTTCCCACAATATCCCGACTCACGAGTCCAAAGATTACGCAAGCAGATGCCAAAACAAACCAAAGCCGGAATCTATGTGGAGATACTCGGACACTGCTTTCAGCAACTTCCTGGGGGGTGTAGGGTCAAGCGGACTCTCGGTATGAGGCGCTCCGGCCAACATCTCATTGACATAGCTGGACATCTTGGCGCTCAGTGTCCCCAGATCCTGTTACAGCAAAGGTAAATGCCCCACAAACAAGCACGCAAAATACTGCAAAGCTTATTTAGTAGACCTGTGCAAGCCCCAAGCCCCCCAAAAACATCCTGAAACCAAATCCGGCGCCTGATTGAAGAGTGTTGGCCATGCGTTCGGATGCTCGGAAAAGCTTGGTATGTTGTACGCAAACCTTGGTGCACACAGCATAGAAGATGCAGTCAGGCAGGCGACGGTTTCCCAAGCTATGAATCTCCAGATATAGGTCTTGCACGACAATTGCGTTCAGGATTGCCGCTGCATTCACTCCATTCGATTCAATTAGATGCATGGTTCGGCACCCGGAGATACACTCGAGAAATACCCTCACGCTGCGAAGGGCTTAATTTCGTAGAAGGCATGCTACGTTGAAACAAAGCCCAACAATTCCCTTGGCAGTCCTCCAAACCAGGAACTCCAAACATGCTGATCAGGTACCCTGCCATTGGATGGGTTCTAACCTTCAGTAGGTTGTATTTGGGATTGTATTTTGCGCAATTTCTTCGGTGCAGTCAACGCTTTCGAACTGTGCCTGTCAATTCTGCGAGCCTGTGCTCCACTGCGTTCAGCTAGCCTCGCCACCAAAACCGACACCCCCAAATTAGTGCTCGTCTGCCACCGGCATGATACTTAGAACCAAGAACTGCAAGTGCCAAATCTTATCACATATGCTCTGGTCACTCCTTTTGCCTCTGACTGCCACCGAAAAGCTGGAATAAGGAGGTCTGGGATTGACCCAAATGTCCGAAGATGCAGCGGAGGTCCACAGAGAAGGCCTTTTTGGTCGCATGACAGGGGGTTTGCATGAAGCACCCCAAATCAACGTCCCATGTCTACACTGACCAGCAAAGTCCATCAAAAGGAACCACACCATGCGAGCTTTGATTATAAGGCATGGATAAGGAACCCAACTGGAGCTACGAAAGGGGGGATGCTTACGCACGTTTGAGAAGGGATCTGTTGCAGCCTGCTGAGATACAAGCTTCCCGTCAACCGTCGACTTGCTAGGGAGCAAGAATGTGAAACAAACGCAAAGCGCGAGCAAATGAACTGGTAGCTCTTTTCTTTTTGCGCCTGTTAGGAAGTCTGGAGTTGGAAGGGGAAGCAGAAGATGTTTCCTCCAAAAATTTAAACCAAAGGCTCAAGTCCTGTTCTTATCACGTGCCAACCCTTCCTCTACCGAATTCAGCCAAGCTGCTGGCATTGAGCAGCCTGCTTTTGGCACTTCGGGACTTTGGGATCTTGCATGTGTCATGCTGCCATGCTACACAGATTGTTCAGCTCTTAGCCCGTTACAGCTTACCCTCAAAAGAAAGGCGGAGCAATGGAACAACCGAATCCATCTGCAGCATTTTGTGGAGGGCGCGAATCAAAGCTGCTACAGTAGAACATCGCTAGATTGTGTTGTCGCTTGTTGCAGAAGACTTCCAACCAGAGCCTGCAACCGCCAGGACCAAGGACAACAACAGCGATGGCCCCACGATCGCCTCCTGCCTTGCTTGTGAGTTGCATGCCGCAGTACCCAAGGTCTCCTATGTAGTTCCTTTTGGGGTCTGCTATGTTTTTTTGTAAGGGATTCGAATATACAACCCAAAAAGGAACTACATAGGAGGGCTAGGGTAGGCATGGGAAGCTACATATCTTCAGCCTGTTTCTGGCTTCCCGACATGGGGAATGTCGCTTCTACAAGGGGCTCGTCACTGTGCACCAGGCGGGTAGCACATCTTCAAAACCAATCCTGAACAATTAGGCAAGGCTATAAGAAGTAAACTAAACCCAACAAAGACAAACTGCCAGAAAGATGACCATCCTGATATATCCTGATTCAGTTCAGAGCGACCCTCGAAAGAAGAGAGTCCCGGGCCAGTTTTAGAAAGTTACTCACCTAAGTCTTGGAGCAGTTCAGGTCCACTCTCCGGCCCGGCAGGTTTCGGGTTTAGGGCTTATACCTCTGCACCTCGAAACATGAAGTTGAGCTGGAGCTCTGATTGCAAGGCCAACAAGACAAGAGCAAGGACCTTTAACTTTGCAAATTGTAAACAGGATCCGGGTGTCTGCTCAGCATCTGTGTAGTTTGGTTTGCAGGCACAATTGCGCTAGGCTAGCGCTCGGGTGTGAAAAGCGCGAACCTCGGCATAAAGCACTTGGAATTTAAGATGCAAAAGCTGCCCGGCAAATAGCCATGATGTGACTGACAGGACGACCACTACATTCTTCCATATTATTCACTATAATATGCTGAACCCCTTCACGACAAACCCTCAACTCTACCTTCGCCTGCGGCACATTCTGGGCCCTGGCAACATACCAAGTTCTTCTGGCAGCCAAGGGGCCAGCCGCATCGAGATGAGTTTGCAGCAGGAGGCCCTGTCGACAGGATAGACTTAGATTATGGCAGGCAGGGGAGGTCTCGAGGCGACATTCCATGCGTCGGTGCGCAAGGGTGACTTCATCACTTACAAGATGATTGAAGCCAGTTCAATACCTATCCATCCATCGATTCTTGGCAAAATCACATCTTTCCGGAGCCAGAGTCCGACGCTCTCGCAGCATCCCACACTAGAGCTTAGTACAGATTAGTAAGGTTTCGGCGCCTTTCTGTCTTTGGCAAGTTGAATGCCCGGTAAACAATCATGGTCACACAGATGGGATGGACAAAGGTCTCAAGCCACACATTTTAAGTAGCCGCTGTCCTACAGGGCCTGTCTTCCTCGGGCAGCTGCCCACGAAGCCAGTCAGAGTATCCCCTATATCTCCGGAATACAAAGGGATTCTGGGACCTTATACAAGATTTTTTGAGAAAGTCTCAGATCTTATCCCTACATGTGGCCTTCGTTTTGCGGTCTTACGGCTGCCTTATAATCGCTCTTGCGGCGCCCTGACTCCGCAGGATGTTTGCGCTTTGCAGGCTTCGCTGGTTCAACGCTTCATCCTTGATGTCGCGAACTTGTGGTCATCTGCTCGGTGATGTCTCGCTAGCGTCAACTGAGCACTTCGATTTGCAACTCTGCTGGACCCGGAGTGCAGAGATAACCCCACAAGGACACCATCTTCAGACTCTTGCGGCTTTGTAAGTTTTAGGACATTTTGTGTGTGTGGGGGGGGGGGCTCCTCTTTCTCAAATCGCATGAAACCTAAGGGAATGCATTGCTCCAAATAGCTGAATGAGCAGACCCCCCGCTGCACTGTCAGCAGACAACTGGGGATGATTTGCGAGCGGTCTAAACCTGAAAACGGAAGT